TTTGGTTAATCAGAACGTTTTAGGTACGACAACTTATATATTAACTGTTGGTTAATGATCGATATATTCAAGGATACTAAAGAAGATTAGAATAGAAGAATATTATAATGATTAAGAATGAGAATATTATTAATTTTGTTAAAGCATTAGAATAATAAAGAAAGATGTCATACTACAAGTGGTAAAATTAAAAATGTACAACCAACGTCAATATAAATAAAATGAGAACATCGTAAATGTGGACGAAAAAATTAAATACGCATTATTATTGATTAGTCAAAAACTACTGGTAATATCTTGATTAAATTTATATGGGATCACATGAAAAGCATCAGCGTTCAAAGAAAAAAAGAATCATCAAAATCGTTTTACCCAGAAAAAAGTTGTAAAGTTAACACACATAAAAAATACAGTTAAATTGAGAACCTCTTTTTATTATGTTTACATAGTTTGTATTACTATATTAATGTTAGGCTATATTATCCTAAAGTTACTCTTTCTAAAATAATTTTACATTTCAATATTCTTTATACCTATATTTTATACAAAACTGTCAACAACATGATGCGTTGTATTTTGCTCCATTAAATAAAATATTTAAAATTACGCCTTTAACTGTTAAATCTATCAGTTTTATTTTATATGAAAATTAAAAATTATTGAAATTTAAACAGTGCTTATTTATTATTATAAATAGTTTTGAATAAGTAGTTGACACTTATGTCAATTTAAAGAATTTTAATGGGCGACAAAACGTATCTTTTCCCACATAAATTCTAAAATATAGGAAAAATATAGGAATGCCAGTAAATGACGTTAAATTATGTGAATATATATTGTAATCTTTATTATTAGGAATTTTGATATTAAAAAAGCTTAATCAAAGTTTATGAATTGAAATTAATTAATGATAGTGACACACTTCTTTGTTCCTGAGTATTTTAGATCAGGGAAGACTCCGCTGCGGTGCTACTATTCGTGATAATGGACTTCATATATCCGTGAAATTTATTTTTAGGGTTATTTAGCCAAATTACAAAAAACGGAACCCTTATGTATTCGTCATGTCTGTCTATCTGTCTGTCCTTCCGTAAGTCACAGCCACTTTTTTCCGAAACCATAAGTACTATGCTGTTGAAACTTGGTAAGTAGATATATTCTGTGAGTAATCTTTTGAGCTTTAGTACAGGTTCGGCGCGTGCTAGGCTTTTGACCGTGGGTACGCATGAGGCCGGCTACTGGCTTCACGCGTATCCTTCGTCAAATACAGGAACATTTCTTGAGCCTGACACGCTCCGAATCGCAACCTGTCTACGGCTTGGGGTTCCGGTCTGCGCTCGTCATAAATGTCCGTGTGGCAGTGACGTCGACAAGCTAGGATATCACGGGCTATCATGCCAAAAAAGTGCAGGTCGCTTCTCGAGACATGCAGCTCTTAACGATATCATACGCCGGTGTCTTGCCACCGTCAACGTGCCAAGTCTACTTGAGCCGTCTGGTATTGCAAGAGACGATGGCAAGAGACCGGACGGTATGAGTTTGATTCCATGGAGGATGGGCCGGGTGCTGGTATGGGATGCAACCTGTTCAGACACGCTGGCCCCTTCCCATCTACGTGGAACCAACAACAGAGCTGGTGCGGCTTGTGAAGCGGCAGAAAAGGTTAAAGTTTGCAAATACAGGGGTCTAGGCTCCGAATATATTTTTGTCCCTTTCGGTGTCGAGACCCTTGGTCCGTGGGGTCCTAGCGCTATAAGCCTTTTTAAGGAAATAGCAAAAAAGGTTAATCGACGTCACAGGAGACCGAAGAGCTGGCAGTTACCTCGGACAAAGAATTAGTCTAGCTATTCAACGGGGAAACGCTGCCAGTATCTTCGGAACCTTGCCTAAAGGACCTCTTTTTTTATAATTTAATTTAGTTATTATAATATATATTTTTAAGGTTTTTAGTATTAGAAATAGTTTGTGAATATTCTGTGAGCCACATTAAGATTTTTACACAAAAATAGAAAAAAAAAACAATAAGTTTTGCGGGTTCTTCATACTTACAACTGAAACTCAAAATTTTTTTTCTCAAACCCATACATGTGGGGTATCTATGGATAGCTCTTCAAAAATGATATCAAGGTTTCTAATATCACTTCCACCGAAAATTGGTTTGAATAAGATCTAGTAAGTATTTTTTTCTTAATACGTCATAAATCGTAAACCGCAATTCACCTTTCATTCAATCAACTACAAGACCTTTTATATTATGTTACTTACTGCTACGGAACCCTTCATGGACGAGTCCGATTCGCACTTGGCCGCTTTTAGTGTTTCTCAGATATGTCGAAATCCTCAAGACGTTTTCCGTTACATCGACGTGGTAAATAAGCACATAATATTGCAGTGACGTCGTTGGTATTGGTAGGGATCGAAAAGAACTGTTGTTATCTAGATAATCCGTGAAACAGTATCAGTATTGACTAAAGCGGCTCAGAGATTGTTCTTATCAATGTGATTAAAAATGAACATCGTTATAGCTCTCATTCATAATGCCACTACTTGTCATTTAACTGATATACCTGAGACTTATGATATATATATATATATATATATATATATATATATATATATATATAAAATTATATATATATATATATATATATATATTTCAGTTGACTCTTTGAATTGAAGAAATAATTAATAATATCTTCATTTTTCACGATATTTACATTTACTTGATACATATATAGTCCACCTTTATTTTATAAAAAAGGGTTATGGATCAATTAATCAGATGTGACATTTCTGTGTTTATACTCGCGTACTGTTAAATTTACAATTATATCTAATCCCCCGACTTACCAATACTCTTATGTTGCAACAAAATACAACCATATTTTTAATAGAATAAGGGTGACAAACGAGCACACAGTCCACCTGATGTTAAGTGGATGCTGTGTCCCATAGACATCTACATTTATTTACGTTGTCACCCCCAAGGACTAGTGAAATACATGCAGTGCTAATAAGTTTATAGGCTTTTATACTTAAAATTAAGTTATAGGCTATATACGCCCCACTGCTGGGCACAGGTTTCCTCTCATTTTTGAGAGGGTTTAAGGCCAACGAAATGTCTAACGCTCTGCCCCAATGCGTGTTGGCGATCTTCAAATATCTTCGAAATATTTTTTTCTTATTTCTCAGACATGCATGTTTCGTCACGATGTTTTCCTTCATCGCCGAGCACGTGGTAAATTATATTTAAAATTGCGATTAACAATTTCTTTGGTGCCGGCGGGTAACGAAATCGGGTTGCTCGCGTACTGTGAAATTTACAGGGAGCGCTAACAATCTGAACCACCACGACTTTTATAACGCTCATTAATTTACATAGTGACGTTACTGGAGATTGATCACAATATATAGTTGATTATCTCAAAGGTCAGAGTAACATCAACCTTGAACAGGATAAACAAACGCCAACGCATGGGTAAAAACATAATGTATATTTTTATTGCTACTCCGCTGTGACGAGTAATATAATAAATATTTATGATATAATAAACTGGGATCTTTGAAAGTAAATCACATTGTTCGAATATATAGTCAACAAATTATTTGCGGGGGTTTTCTATAACATTGTTAGTAGTAATATTATTACTGACAAAAAAATCACCAAAATTGTCCATAAAATCCTATTCCCCGTACTGTAGCGACAAGAACGCTGGCTACGTTTCCTCGCTGAAGCATCCTCTTGTCACCAGCGATGACAAAAAGTTGCGGGTAAAGTTCCTATATAGGAAAGCTTTAAATATTCTTTAGGAACTTCACGGCATGTTGACCTCACGGACCGATAGTCTCGGCAATTCATATTTACGTTTCAGTTCTGCCGCCTATGATGGTGCCCTGGTTCTAAGCGAGGTACCCCTGAGGTGAGAGGTCCATCTGCCACCCCATACTAGGGCTTTGCCTCTCTTCCAAGAAACAATAGTCCTATCGTTAGGTCCCTTTTCGTCGTCTCTAAATATTCACAATAAGGTAAGACAAGAACTATGAAAAAAAAAACAAGTAACTTTTCGAGTAACATTGTGCGGAAAAACTTAATGGGAAAATCATAGCTCAAGCTCGTGGATTCTTAGCTCTCAGCCGTTCTATAAGATAATTATAGATTTTAGCTTTAGTTTTATTTTTTATTTATAATAAATATCGTATATTTTGTAGTTAATAAAATTCGATTTAATGGTGGCGTTTGATTTTTAAGTATTTTGTTTTTAATTTTCAGTAATACTGAACTGTTAGAATTAGAAATATTTAAAGGTGTCTAAATATTATTGAATTAAATCAAAATGGAAAGGTACCAAGCATAATACAAGGAGGAATATATGGAAATATACGTACACTGTTACATTGTTATGATTTGTGTATTTAGACGTGGGAGAGCAATAACGAGCAAACAGCAAACAATAGCTTTTGACAAACGTAATCTATAACGATAATAGGTTTCACTGCTGCAGCGTCCGATATAGAAAAGCTTTATAAAGTTCTTTAAAATTTGACTCTGTCACGATATTTAAAATGCGTAAATACATTTGAACTTTTAGATTTCTGTATAACGTAATTCAATTTGTCGTTAATAATTCCAAGATGTTTAATTTTTGGTTATAAATTTATAGATACTAAAAATTGTCGCATAATATTGATAATTTTATTATTTTCCATTAGCATTATTATTGCGTTAAACTCAGTATATTTAAAAGGCTTAACACCGTTGTTTGTCACGTCATGATTATATTTATTTAAAGTTACATGAGAGTGGAAGCCTTACGATATACGAGTATGTATGATTTCAAGTTCATCGTTATTGAGTAATAGTATCGGAAGTTAATCACACGGTACAGTAAAAATACTTTAACTGATAGTATTCAGTAGCGCTTTCATAAACCAAGATATCAAACAGCAAATATGAGCGCGGGTTGAGAATTATGTTTACGAAATATCACGTGGTCGCTCACCGGTCCTAGGTTATCGAAGCCGTGGTGTAGCGCGACCTCCTGCGCTTCCTCATGCCGGAGTGAACGCTTGAATCGCACCAAGAAGGAGTTGGTAAAGACCTCGCGGGAAGCGACGGCGGCGAGCAACACCGTAACAGCCATACATTGTAACCACATGTTCGCACTACGGCCGTTGGCGCTTGACTGAGGCCCAATTCTAGCTGACGTCACTGAATATCGACCGGACGGCCGCGCATGCCTCGACGGCCAGCTTTTCACAGATTATGAAAAGTCTAGCATGACCATTGTTTTGAATTAAACAACCTACATTCCGGCTAGCGTGCTGTAATCACCTCGCTACTCTTGTTCATAGTGCTGAGAATACCTACTTATGCATTTCGGTTTGGCAATGAATTTTATCTTTGTTTAGACTACTTTTCACGAAGCGTGTGCAATTTTTTATTTAAGCTTTATGTTATGAAGTTTATTTTTCATTTTGGAGAAACTTTCGCATCATTTGAATTTCCACCTGAAAGTCCACCTGATGGTAAGTGGATGCTGTGGCCCATGGACATCTACATTTATCTTCAATTAAGAATCAAAATGCAGATGCGTTGCCAGCCCTGAGGACTGAAATAGAATGCCTCGTTTCCAGTAAAAAACCATACGAAACAGCAGCATTAAGCTGCTATTTGACCGAGAGCCTGATTCTACACCGGTCGAGCTGACCCGTAAAATTGATTTATATACATGAATCATTGTATAGATTTTTTAAAACATTTCATAATAAAAACCTTTAACCATAGATTTTTTTAGTTTTGCAAAATTTAAAAAAGGAGTAGACTAAGATCCACCTAGGCCTGTTTATAGACTGACGATGAGTGAGATAAGCGATATAATATAACAGTGTCTTGTTGCACATGACCACCTTAAGACAAATGTAAATAATATAGGTGTTTATGGGCGACACTAGGTTCACTTAACAGCTGGTCATCCTTATATTAAAAAACCCTAAGGATAAACGGTTGCCCGAATAAACGAAGTCAGATCTCTGTCCTGTATTATCTTTTCAATTTAATGTGCTGAAATTATGAGAATAAAAATTGTATAGAAAAATGCATGTTTGATAATTAAAAAAATATATCTAAAATATGCTAAGACCACCTACACGCATTGCGGCCACCCTACGGACTCTGCCTCGACCAAAAGACTTCCTTAGTAATGAGAGGAGGCCTACACAAAGCCGTGGGACGTACAGAGACTGGTATTTGCCTTTTGGTACTGCCGGAAATCAAGAAGTTGGCGGTGTCTCAACACCGTAAAGCCGTTGGTCCCTCGCCTGATCTCTCTCCGGTCGTGTCGGTTTACTGTCCCATCGGACTATGATAATGACGGAATAGAGAGTGCTTGCGCATACACTTGGGTTATAATCATATCCTGCACCGAGGCTGGCCGCCGTGATCGAAATTCGATGTGGAGGACATTATTATTATTATTATTTTTAGGATATGTATATAGTTTTTTCATCTGGTTGGGTTGGGTTGGGTTAATAATTGATAATTTACAATAGGACAAGGCAGTCTCTATATAACTTCGTAACTCTTATAAAATTTAGAAGAAGTGTAAGCAGTTTTTTACGGTTTAGATTAACTAAACATTTTATAATATTTTCTCGATATTTGAAATTTTTTATTATTTATTCCCACACTCGGAATTTCTCTCGTGATTCTTGACATGAATGAAGTTTTACAAACATTACATGCCCTAAGCAACACAGACACTGGTTTAGTGTGTTGTGACGGGTGTAAGAATATCTACTACACGTATCGTTTCGTGGGTATCATAGAGGCGACAGAGGGAAACTGAAAAAGAAACGGGTGGCGGCATCTTCCTAATGAAAAGTCGAAATAATAAAAAAAACTGCGATTGCCAACCCTGCCAAGCGCAGCAACTATGGTAAAATCCTCACTATGAGGTCTTTGGAGCCCTATCTATGCAGTGGTCGTTTATAGGCTGTAACGGATGGATCACAGATATCTAAATTATTATTATTATTTAGATTTCTATGGAATGGATGGACACAACCAGACTGAAAAATATTTATACGCTATACAAATACCATAGGATTCCAATATACAATTCCAATACTGTGCTACCGATTTATCAAAGTAATGTATGTAGTAACTAACATATTGTGCTATATTATTCATAAAATTTACAAAGTTTGCAATTTAAAGCTTGTTTTATCAGACTGCACCAGAAGGAGAGTATGTATGTGTGTACGTATGTCTATTTTTTTTTTGGACGCTCTTTAGCCTAATCGATTTGATATATGAGGGGTCGTTAGATTCGTTTTAATGGCGGAAGTGACATAGGGTATAAATTTTTTCATTTTTCAGTAAAGTTCTTCACGCAGACAGTTTTTTATTGCTATTCTAAATTTTAGGCTTGTTTATGATATACAAGGGTGCTATGCTGTCTATGAAATTGACAATGGTTAAAATTTTAAGTTTCTTAAGTTTTAATTTAGATGCACATATTAATTTGCTGCTATATACACTACATAGGCTATATGTAGACATTAGTAGGCTGGTACTTCAAAATACCACCAGCAGCTTTGGACTTAATGTATAGCGAACATAATCTGGTTAAAGCCAGTCTTGAGCACAGGTACAAAATAATCAGACTCGCGGTGTTCTGTAGAATACATTTAGGAAAGTTTGAGCAGGGACTGCATGGCTTGTCATAGAAGAAAGAAATAGAAATTTTTTTTTCAATGTAGATATAAAAATACTTATTGAAGGTCACTTTTTAATTTACCACTGTAAATTTAAGTTCCGCTCCTTCTCACCATTGGACAACCAGACGTTTTCCAAGCCTCCACCTCTTTATTCCAGTTATAAAATAATAAGGATAAAATCTTTTGCTAGTCCCAATGGAAACTGTATTTACTTTATTTTTCAAACGACTACACTCTGTATCCAGTACAGAACAAAATCCTAGTTTAGGGGAGGACTGTATCGTCCTGACCAGGGACAACTAACTGTAGATCATATAAGTATTTTTCGTGCTGCCTATGCACCAACAAATCGAGCATTGATACTAATAGGGGACATACTCACTCAACACGATGAAATTGACATATTTGCAGACAGTATGACACGTCTGCTGACTGTTTTTTTTTATAAAACTATCGATAATAAGATAATTAATAATTCGACAATTTAATTTGCTTGACTATGTACTATTTATTACTTTGTATTTAAGATGTAATTTTAACTATGGGCATATATTGTAATTAGCTTTTATTGACATTATATAATAAATTGATACGACAAAATATTTCATAGCCTGATATTGTATGACTTCGACTTTTTCTTTTTTAAACATTGTACAATTATTAATTTTTTATTGTTTATTACTAATTTAATTTCTCAACATGGGCTGCTAAAGGCTTAGAGATTTTATATCACTAATATTGTATAATTGTTTAATTTATGATTATTAATTTTAATTAATAATTTATAAGTGATAACTATTTATTTTTGTTGTTATAATTGGATTCAATTTTTTTTAATATATTTGCACTTAAAATTGAACCTTGCTCGTTGGATTTTCTGTAAACCACAAAAGTTTTGAATTAAATAAATAAATAAATTTATTCCGTGCAGGATTCGAAACGCGACACTCAGTACCGCAATTCAATACTAAGCCCCTGCGCCGCGGAACCGTCACTATCTATTAATAACTATTCATCTATCCATCTGAACGTAGCCGTTCCTTATAAATTGCTTATAATTATTTTGCTGTAGCTGCCACATTTTGCAGGGTTGGTCGCGGTGTTAATTATTCAGAGTTCCTATCAGGGAGATGCCTTTACCTATCTCCTTTTTCAGTTTACCTGTGGCGCCTCTTACGACAACCACAGGACAATATGGAGTATTGGATATTCTTTCGCCGTCAATACAATATGGAGTATTGGATATTCTTTCGCCGTCAATACAATATTGAGTATTGGATATTCTTTCGCCGCCGATACAATATGGAGTATTGGATATTCTTTCGCCGTCAATACAATATGGAGTATTGGATATTCTTTCGCCGTCAATACAATATGGAGTATTGAATATTCTTTTGCCGTCGATACAATATGGAGTATTGGATATTCTTTCGCCGTCAATACAATATGGAGTATTGGATATTCTTTCACCGTCAATACAATATGGAGTATTGGATATTCTTTCGCCGTCGATACAATATGGTATATTGGATATTCTTTCGCCGTCAATACAATATGGAGTATTGGATATTCTTTCGCCGTCAATACAATATGGAGTATTGGATATTCTTTCGCCGTCAATACAATATGGAGTATTGGATATTCTTTCGCCGTCAATACAATATGGAGTATTGAATATTCTTTTGCCGTCGATACAATATGGAGTATTGGATATTCTTTCGCCGTCCATACAATATGGAGTATTGGATATTCTTTCGCCGTCAATACAATATGGAGTATTGAATATTCTTTCGCCGTCAATACAATATGGAGTATTGGATATTCTTTCGCCGTCAATACAATATGGAGTATTGAATATTCTTTTGCCGTCGATACAATATGGAGTATTGGATATTCTTTCGCCGTCCATACAATATGGAGTATTGGATATTCTTTCGCCGTCCATACAATATGGAGTATTGAATATTCTTTTGCCGTCGATACAATATGGAGTATTGGATATTCTTTCGCCGTCGATACAATATGGTATATTGGATATTCTTTCGCCGTCAATACAATATGGAGTATTGGATATTCTTTCGCCGTCAATACAATATGGAGTATTGGATATTCTTTCGCCGTCAATACAATATGGAGTATTGGATATTCTTTCGCCGTCAATACAATATGGAGTATTGAATATTCTTTTGCCGTCGATACAATATGGAGTATTGGATATTCTTTCGCCGTCCATACAATATGGAGTATTGGATATTCTTTCGCCGTCAATACAATATGGAGTATTGAATATTCTTTTGCCGTCGATACAATATGGAGTATTGGATATTCTTTCGCCGTCCATACAATATGGAGTATTGGATATTCTTTCACCGTCAATACAATATGGAGTATTGGATATTCTTTCGCCGTCGATACAATATGG